CAGCAGGTTGCGCTCCTCGTTTGTCAGGTCGACGTTCTCCTCAGTCACCGCTTTCATAGCAGCGGCCATGTCATCATAGCGCTCAGCCTGCTCGGCCAGCTTGGCCTTCTGCACCTGTTCCTTCTGGACTGCCTCGGTCATGACTGCTCACTGGACAAAGAAAGGAAGAGAAGGAAAGAGGACAGCTCGTGGTCAATTAAGCGCACTCATAGGGTCCTCATCTTTTTATTCAGACAGGTACCTATTTACCAGAAGCAGGAACGATTATATAGAATACGAACAACAATTAATTAACAATAATCTATGTTGGTTTTACAGACGTAGCACATGATACAATCTCTTGAGACGTGCTGCTCTATTTAAAAAAAATTCTACAAGGAAACAGATGCACTTGATGACTGCAAAGCTGTGTGAGTGAATGCGCTTGCTATTCCTTTCCAATTACCCAATCAATTAAAACAGGGGTCACCAATTTTGGTGGAGCGCTTCCATTTGAATCTTTTTTTGGCCTTTACAGCAAACGTTCAGCAGTACAGAAAACACCAACCATTTCACAGATTTTTAACTGTCTAACAATTATGTTGAGAAAGATTAATATAAGTGGTGTAAGAAAGTTATTAAAAGCGTATACAAAATCATGGCCTTTTGGGGGACATCCATCCACACCTAAATAAAAACCGATACATCCGTTAATTTTACGCCATAACAAACAACTTTCTTCATATATTAGAAAGATTTGACCTTTCAATTTCCCCACATACTGAAGTACTAAATACTTGTGTTCAAAAGTCAGTAGTCATTTTGGGGTTATTAAAATAGGATTTCATACTAAAAAGGAGTACACGGTATAACAACCTAAGGGGGTTGTTTTAACGAGACATCCAAAGTACCTACAGCTGGATAAGCCTACTGACAAGCTGATCCAGCTTTCATCGGAATCAATAGTTGGGACACTACAGAGGAGAGATCATCTTTGCTTGTGTGTCCTACAAGGAAAAGAGGCAATGAGAAGTGTGCGGGTAATTTAGCTTGGGATGCACTCCATATTAAAAAGCTGTCAGAAAATAATTTCTTTAAATACTTAATTGTCATCCATCCATCCATAGTCAAACCGCTTATCCTGCACACAGGGTCGCAGGGTGGGGGGGGGGCTGGAGTCCATCCCAGCCAACTTTGGGCGAGAGACGGGGTACACCTTGGATTGGTCGCCAGCCAATCGCAGGGCCAACACACATATACAACCGTTCACACTCCCATTCATACACCTACGGGCAATTTAAAGTCCCCAATTAACCTGATCCCCAGAGCATGTCTTTGGACCGTGGGCCACTGGGCGGAGTTGAACCCAGGACCTTCTTGCTGTGAGGCGACAGTGCTAACCACCACGCCACCGTGACGCCCTTACTTAATTGTCAGCTACATTTAAATAAATAAATAAAAGTTCTATATACACCTCTCTATATTTCTACAGCACTGCAAGTTGTTATGAGAAAGCTACCAGCAATGTTAATGCAGTGATGTGTAGACTTGACACACATACAAGGGAACAGGAATAGGCATTGCTAGATCAATAGCCTACATCTGCTTGACCCATCCAAAACCGCCAATGGGGTTCCACAGAGAAAAAAAATCATTTCATTATCAATTTTTTCCATTCCAGAGTTCATGAAGTGAGGCTGCAGAGAGATTCTTTTTACTACAACACATTTGTACACTCCACGCTTTCCAAGTTAATAAATGTATTTCTATACCTGTGACAAATATTAAAAGGTGCTCAATGATCGTTTGACATTCTTAAGGCTAACAACAGGCACATTCTTAGCGTTTCAGCCCTTGAGGGCCCTGGCCATTTGGTGCTATGTGCAGGTAGGGGCGCGTTTGGAAGCCTGGTATTAAACCTTCCCTTTTGCTAAACTAGCAGAGCATTGATAAGCCCCAGCGTAACTGATGCTTTTCATTAATTTTCAATGTAATTTAACATCTTGCTGCACATTGGCTCTGTCGAGCGGAATTCCTCCATCTACAAACACACAAAACGCAAGCTAAATGGACCGCTATTTGGGGGGGGAATCTTATTGCCAAGAGTTATACACCTGCAATACATCTGTAAACAGGCTAACAAAATCGAAAACTCATTCAATCGTCTACCGCCACCATGTCTGATGCACAATGGGCCAAACCAGGGGTCTCTCTGCTCTGTAAAAAAATCTACATGCGTGTTATTTTTAAATGTTGAAGAGCAGAATATTGCTCTGATTAGCTTCTGACTACTAAACTAAAAACCTTTAGTTAACTACCTGAAGGCCACCGTAGTTAAAGAGGGGGGGTGAGCAGAGGGATGCAATGGGCCACACACCACTAGGTGCCACTAAATCGTGCTCCCTAATGATTAACGTTAGCTTTGTAGAATAACTACCAGCACAAAAATCAAAAACACTTAAGTGCTTAACAGGTTGGCAGAACTGTAACAGCTTCAGCACGGAGGAGCTAGTAGTGTACCCGACGGCGAAATGATGCAACCCACGGGCCATGTATTAACAGCAAATAAATGCTACATTAGGTAACGTTAGTTCCGTAGTTACACTTTGAGCCACGTGTGCCTGTAAGACCGCCTGTCAATGTCAAACAGCAATAATAACGTAATACATTTGCAGCATCAGTGGATTTGGTGTGACTGGTTAGCCTCCTCAGGAAACGCAGGAGTGCCTCCCTCGTTCTGTCGTATACACACACACACACACACAACCACCACACCCATCCCTGTACCTGTGGCTCACCGAACATGCTAGAACACGGAAATGAAAGAGCAAAATTACAGCGGGGCACTGTGATAAATGTTAGTATATTTGACCAACAAGAACACAACGCACCTCCAGTGTATCTCATTTTAGTTCAATCTAACGTGAGTCCAGACGAGAACCTCCATTCAGCGAAAGAATCGCAACCACAACCACTAGGCCCTCGTGACCAGTTTCCACAATGGCGTGGACTATTTCCTGAAACGAGGGGCTTGAAAATTCGGCTGGGAGTTAACGTTTAATGTAACCATTTTATCGTACCTATTCTGCAGTCAGTGTAAAATCCAATAATTAATAGCTCCGTTGCCACGTTCAACGGGTTTACGATTAAAGTTATGTGATATGGATCGTCCTCGCGCCATGTCGCGTTAAGTTCATTTAAGCGGCATCATCGTTACCGTCGAGTGGGTGTAATTCTAACAGTGCGCGCAGTTAGCAGATGTGTAACGTAGAAAACGCAAAATTTAGATAACGTTAATTGGCCGAAGCGTAACACGCATTTAGCGCTAACGTTACATGCGACGTTGCGATTCCTCGTAGACAATGAATTGACGATTTAATTGTTTGCAAACAGTTGATGAGCACATTGAACTAATTAACATAACCTCAAAATGTAACGTTAGTTCAACCGTAGCAGGCCAACAGACTATGAAAGATTTAACCTTCGACCCGACTTCCACGTCTGCCCGTTTGATGGGCCGTTGAAGAACCAGCCATTAGACACATCCCAAACTGTAGCTAAGCTAGCCATTGTTCTTTGGTCCGAGGTTTGCCGCTACATGCAGCTCCATGGTCATTCGGAGGCTATGATTCTCTTCGATTATCACTAGATCTCACGATACATTAGAAACCCAACACTAAATGATGTAACTAAGAGTGCAGTTTAAAAAGCTTCAACTCATTTCATACCTGTGTTCTGGCAGATAGCAGTGATTTCGGCGTGCCAAGCTACAGCTGATTCTCTCAGCCCGTCTGTGTGAATGCAGTACACGGGGTTTCCCTCCAATCACACCAGTCCAAGGCAGGGCCAGAGCGCAGGGGGAGGGGGTAGGTGGGGCATGACGTCAACGTAACCAAGGCAACCGAACACGAGACATTGTGGGAGGTGTAGTTTGCACTCATTACCACCGCTGCACAAGTCTTCACGAGGCTAAAAAATGTAGTCAATATCGGCAAATTTTGATGCTTAAATAAAACATTGTTATTCAACCACTAAACCTCAACTTTACACAGTAAGTGATTGTGTGATATTGTCCTTTGTCTGACTGCAGGTGCCACATTTCAAACAGAATGCACCCAAACACAGCACATGGTAACTAACCCCAAATACTGCTCATAATATGGGTAACAAAATGAGATGCTGTCTTTTTACATGCAGTGGGGACCTGTGGTTTGGTTTTGCTGGAGATGCTGAGGCCACAAACTAGAACAGCGAGCACATTTCTACAGACTATGTCTTGCCTAATAGAAACTACTATTTCTGCATCCTGGTTGGTTTCCAAGGGGAGAGAGTGAAGCTATTTCTGCCCTGTCACATGTTTTCCCTTTAGGCCAAGATTTCAAGCTTGTAACCTATTTAAGTGCAGATGAGATCAAGTTGGCTGTAAAAATACACAGGCGCCAGTGCAAGAGGTGTGGTCCAAGAAGGAAACAAGGAGTAAGCTGAGTGATGACAAATAGTTTAAAGATGCATAACCAGTCGGGCGAGTCCTCGGTCCTTCAACCACATCTAGCGAACTTTGACACACATTGCTGAAATTGCAAAATCTTTGCGGCTGCAATGGTTTTTCACATAATTATTCACTGACACTGGATATCACATTATTTTCAATAAGATCAACAATTGCAGTTCTCAGATTTTGTGTTAAATTGTGATTATTTGTGATTTACTTTAAAATGTAAAGGGATACTCGATGGATTTCATGCTTTTGAGGAAACGAACTTCCAAAGCCCTCTTGGAGTGACTGTTGGGATCATCATTATGGATAGTACGTTTCATGAATGTGGTCCTTCAACAGGGTATAAACTAACACGCTTAGAAACCTCAGATTATTCTCATTTAATTGGATCTGGAGCCCTAACTGAAAAGTGCAACTATTTAAATTGATTCATGTCCTTCATTCATGTCCTTCTTCTTCATCTCACAATTTATATAAATGAGCAGTCGCTGTTCGTAGGATTAATTTAGAAAAGGCCATTACAGTAACCTAACAATTCAATTTTATTAATACGCTGTATATAACATTGTGTGGATGAAGAAATTATTATTACAAAAGTAAAAATATGGATATTGTCAGACATTTGCACAACGAAACAATGTCTGAGGTTAATCACCAGTTAATTTGTGTAAATGAAATTCCCAGCATGCCAGGAAGAAGAAACCAGTATAAAATAAAAGGGGTCATGCATGGTTTCTTATACAAGTGGAAATGCAGTGCCCTCCGGTCCAACTTGAACATGAACATAGACATATTTCATAAGACATATTTAGCAGTCTGCTGTGTCTACCCTCCGTGCTGGTCCCACATCAAATTCTGTATGTTCTAAAAATCAAATTTTGTAAAAAACAAAAAACACAGGAAGCCAGTTACTGTAACAACCCTGCATTTGACACTCATGCATCAAAAACTGAATAGTCAGCATGAAGAGCAATTTAATTAGTGCTTAAGATAGAGAAACTAAAACATTGCATAATGTGGAAGCTCCAATGGCCTTATTGAAGGAGAGTTGTATCCATTACGCCTCCACACTGACTAACTCTGGGGGCATTGAGAACTTTGGATGTCTGCTTTCGAAGTGCTGCTTAAAGGTCTTTGGTTTGGGCATTTGTGTCTCATAAAAGTATGGGAAAGAAAAACAGTGAAAAATGAGAAAACTTACATTTTGGCAGTCGGTATACAAAAAGCACAACAATAGACGAGACATGAGTTCATAAAATAATATTACGTTAGCCCTGGTACAACAACTTCTACCTCATTAAAGGAAACTTGTATGTTCCGTTTTTCACCTCAGCACATCCCCGACACAGAGTACATGTGTATACTAAAGCAGCCAGAGCCGCTGCCTTCTGGTCATGGCCTTTGCTCTTCTTGATGTCTGCCTGCTTTTTGGGATTCTTCTGCTGGGACTGGAACTTCTGGTGCCCGTGGGCCATATTGGATGCCAAGACCTGAAGAAATTTTACAAGATGTTGATCAATACAGCACCTTAAACAAGGTGATGAGCCATACATTGAGAGACATAAAACCAAGAACCACCCAGGAAAGATGGTAGAGGGGGAAACTACAAGCATAGAGGGGAATGAAAGATGCATTGGAAACAAGTGACAGTGATATCAGCTGAGATGTCAGATGAAGCAGCCTACACAATCATAGGATCAATAGATGTGCAAGGCAGCAATGGTTGTGAAAAAGAACTAGGTTAATTGACACTTTTTTGGGTCAGGGATGAGGCAATTAACTTGGAAATGTCCCCAAAGAAAATCAGACTGCAGAATTTCAAAGTCATAATGGATAGAATACCATAAATAGGTCAGCACTATAATTGTTTAAGAAGTTTGTTTTAACTGACTGATATTCAAAACACTGGAGACAGTTAAGAATCCTTCCAGAAACCGTGTGACGGTAAAGGGTGATGTTTAATACATTAAAATGAATCGTCAAAAATAGGGAGATGTCAATTCAGTCAGTGCCATGCACAGCTCTGCGGCTATCTAACCTTTATCTAACCCTTATCTAACCTTAACTAACGCTCCCTGATCGGTCACTATGCGAGCTTCTGGATTAAAGAGCAAAAGTGTCAGTGGGATCACTGGGAAGACATGGCTGCATTGGGGACACAAACCTCACACATTTAAGTACATCTAACGTTAAAGAATAAACAACGTAAAAAGAAAATAAATAAATCAGGTCAGGGAACATTATAGGGTAGTTTGAAGGAAATCAAACGGAAAATTACATTACATTGCAGGTAATTTAGCTGACGCTTTTATCCAAAGCGACAATAGGTGCATTCAATTGATTTAGGCTCACCTGGAATGTACATATTGGAAAAATGGTGGATAAATGTAAAAAGGCTTTAAATGTAATGAGATGCTTGGTGGGAACCGAGTGGACTTGAAACTAATCTGAAAACATTGAATATCAACAAATATATAGAAGTGAAGATGGAAAAAAAAAATATATATATAACTGAGTCAAAACTATATTGAACCCAAAAATACTTTTCGTCCACTTATTTTTATTTTTAATACATTGTTGTATTTTTCAATGTTGTTCAACAAAAGAAACTTTCAGGTTCACATTTGTTTTTCAAATTATCAAAACTTTTGACCTATATCTGGCTCTATACATATCAACCATCCAACAAAAAGTGCAATTGGGCCGTGCTGGGAACAGGGAAGATCTTCAGGTGGGTTGCTAAGGAGAAGGCTAGCTGAATTAGGTATATATGATAAAGAGTGTTTCTGCAGCAGTGGTTCTGCCACTGATGGGGGATGAGTGTCATACGTCAGGAATATTTATCACAATTATATACACATTTATATAAATGGATCAAAAGACTCCAACACTGGTTAAACAGCAGCAAGTTCCATTATGAGTTTGGGAAAAGACTAAGCGATGATTTAACGGTGTTTACATGGCCAAAGTCATGCCTTACAGTGGACAGAGGACGTCAGACCAGAGGGAGTGCTAATTGCTTCAGACTCGTGTGCAGTGCTGACAAGTTCTACGTTTTACCATTCGGGAAGCAGAGACGATTTACTTCATGAGATGCTACAATGTTTATTCAGAATCCAGCAAAGAGGATTGCGAATCATTTTATGTGGGTGCCGTTCCATGTTGGAGTCGATGGCAAAGAGGTGGCGGATAAAACAGCAAAGAGGGCTTTGAAGAGGGGGAGAACTATTGGTAATGTAAATATAAGTAAGTCAGAAGCTGAAGTGGTGATTAAGGGACAGATCAAAAAGATATGGCAGAATGAATGGGAAAAAGAGAGCAAAGGAAGATATCAATTGACGATTAAATAAATATGTAATATAATATGTAAATATGCAATATTTAATAAATTGTAAATATTATTACACTAAATAGAATCTGAGAATTATTATTATTATTACTTTTGTTTGTTTGTTTTCGTCTGGTTTTGTACAAGAGACTTACTTTCCGTAAAGGCCACATTCAGATTAGGGGGGCGCGGTAACGCAGCCGAAAGCTGTTTGCCAACCGCCATGAAAAACAAAAGAAGGCTTCAATAAACAAACAAACCGGAAATACGAATGCACCCAGCTTTATGCGCGCGGGGAAGCACCTAACAGACACAAAAGATATTTTTAAAATCAACCAACCACATCTTTGGGTGACATATCCGAGTAACATTCTGTCTGCATTGGTGCAAGTTTTAATGGCTACCACAAGGTGTCACGGTGCATACAACAATGAGGCTGCATGTTAGCAGCTGTACAACATCATGATGCATTCTAAACCTTAAACTAACAGCCATTATTTTTATTTTCACTGTGGTTACATTCAGCTCAGTCTCATCATTAACTATAATGGAAGGGAGGGTTTATCAGCCCAAATCACTTGAACTTCGATTAATCTGCCACTTTCCGTCATAAGTCTAACATGATATCCGTGTCCCCGCGTGAATACTTTCCCCCCACATCCACCCGATCCCAACAAAACTGAAGAAATGCACCGGCATCGGACAAAGAAGCCGAACTCAACATCTGCGTAACCGCTTTTGGCTCATTTCAGACCACGCCCCTTACTCCTCGTTCACCAATGGGGTAACTGCTTGGCCACCTGTGTGGAAACATCAAGCCAATCAGCCGTGCTAATGTTGTTTCCTCGCTTATTCTGGTACCGCCGACCGCAAGAATTTACCAATCCCTCAAATTGCGAACTTTTCCAAACAGAACCGAAACCTGGTTCCTCCCAGGAACATTGCTCTTCTTTGCCTCTACTCAGCGTTGACCTACCAGCATAGTAATCCGGTTATATAACTACCGTAGTTCGCGACGTCAGAGAGGATTTCATTGTTTTTTTGATTGACAGGTTGAATAGAGCCCGCCCTCCCGCACGCCTAGTTTTCTCTCTCAGTCTCCCAGACCAATTTACCTGGACTAACTAGAAAGTCCAGTTTCTCAAGTTAGTCCTTGAAAACACCTGAGAGTCCTGTAGGCAACATGGACCTGGACAGGTAAGACTGCGAGGAATAACGTCTGTTAGTTTCTTTCAAACTTAACATTTCTAAAGTATTTCAGATGTCTTTTGTTTCATTGTTCGTTTACACATAGGGAGCAGAACCTGCTTTCTCTTGAGCAATAACCTATTTCAATTGTAAACTTGATGCCTTGAATGTGTATTTGAATAGGGGGCAGTTTCCATTGGTACAGATTAAATTGCAGATATAACCAAAATTAATATAATCTCATCATGATTGTACAATAGAATAGCCTTACTGTAATTTTAATGAGGTCTAGTTACTGTTTTAAATACGAAATTAAGGGAAACTGTGTGTGTGAGAGAGAGAGAGAGAAAGTGTACCCTAAATATGGTTTGTCTCCTTTTCTTGCCAGCCTGTGTGAATGATGTCACCAAAATGACATGATATAAAAATCAAATTCACGGCTGAATGCGTAAACTTTGAGCTTCTAAATGTGGCTTACCGGTGTGGACGTAGACTTACACACAAAGTAAAGACAGCCTGGGGTCGATTTGGCGGCTTGGCAGATGCGGCTTCTGAGACAGTTCATGACAGCTCCTCTTCCCCCCCTCCCACAGTAAACGACTGGTGGTGGTGGTACCCAATGACGTGATGGGGCCCTCTCGCAGAGTGTCAAGCAGCGAGGACGAAGCATGGAGGAGCTACCTGGAGAACCCGCTGACCGCGGCCACCAAGGCCATGATGAGCATCAACGGAGACGAAGACAGCGCGGCAGCACTGGGACTGCTCTACGACTACTACAAGGTGTGGAGAGCTTCCATCAACTCCTAATGTAATAAAAAACAGCCAACCATGTGCTCTGATTGGTTTCAGTTGAACATAAACCCTCGTACTTTCCACAACCCCGTCAGATTCCCAGAGAGCGGAGATGTGCCGTAAGCGGCGTTAAACCCACGGAGCCCCCTCCGGGCGGGCAGGAGAACTGCGGCAGCCTGGAGATGCTCGATTGCCATCTCCAGGCTCTCCGTTCCATGCCCGTCAACCTCTCCCTGAACAACCCCGCCGCTGCAGGACATCAGGGCTCCAGGCAGGGCGCTGCCTTCCTCGCGGGGGAAGCCAGGGGTGGAGAGGGTAAAGGTGGAGGGGTGGCCGCTCTGGTGAAGACAGAGGGCCTGGCGTCCAACTCTGGGGAGACCTACCGAGAGGAGCCCAGAGCGGAGGTCCGGAGGGCGTACGGACACAACCACTATGATTTGTCCCGCGTCGGGTTCTTGAAGGAGGAACAGCGGGGCACTCCAGACAGCACATATGAGGAGGCTGTCGGAGAAGGAGAGGTGAGACGCGTTATACAAGAGGGGAGTGTCTTCCTGTCTACACTGGGTTTATAATGTGTCCTGTGTATTCCTCTCTTCACAGATGTACCACAGGAGACCCTCCTCTGCAATTGATGAATTCCACTGCAGCCCACAGGGGTAAGTTTTAAAAACGCACAGATGCGTGAGAAGGAATAAGATGAAGCTTTTGACAAAGACAGTAGTAGTTGGTTTGGTTTTTCTTTTCGTGGTATTTGCTGACAAAGAAACATACAAGCAGAAATCTTGTTAAACGTTGTGCTGTTACCTATCGAATGAATGTATTGGCCTTCCTACACGCTTATGTTGTCACAGTGGCAGCTTCCAGTACTGTCTGGAGGCCTGCATGTCGCTGCGGCCGTGGCAGGGGGAAGGACCCATGGCCTACCTGAACCGGGGACAGTTCTACTGTTTGACCCTGTCCAAGGTCGGCTTCGCATCGTCCCAACGTCAGCCCAGAGGGAAAGTGCGGGTGAGTGGACCCACGCCGTCACGGGGGCCCGATGGGGGCGTGTCCAGTAATGCGCAATGCACCATGGGAGGCTCTGAGCTGCAGCGGGACAGTATTGTACAGGTGAGGGAGGGGCTGTAGTTCATGGAGAAGGAGTGTGGAGGTGGAGGTACTGGGTTCTATATTTAGCTTTTTCTCCGACAGCACTCAGAAATGTGGTAATGTTTCTGGTTCCTTCTTACTCTGCTTGGAGCTGATTACACTGCGACCTGTTTTTCCATCTTGGCTTCTACTTCAGAGTGTTGTCATGGTTGTCTTCGGGGAAGACAAGTGCAGAGACGAGCAGCTGAAGAATTGGAAATACTGGCACTCCCGCCAGCACACTGCCAAACAGAGAGTCCTGGACATTGATAAGATGGATATTGACGACATGCCTGCATGCTACATTTGGGGGGGAGGGGGGGGGGGTGGGAGAAATGGGAAACATCCAAATCCGAACATACTTTGTATTAAACAGCACATCTAGATGCTAAGTAAGCTCCAAAAAAAAGTTTTGAGCTGGAGCTGGCAAACATGCATGAGCCTCCAGGAGGATCATATCCTGAGGAGAAACCCGACTCGATTTGAATAACTGTCAATCCTCGCTTCCCACAGGAGCGCTGTGAGAGACAGCCAATGGGTTAGCATTTGCATAGACGTTAACGGGATAAATAGGCGGGGGCCTGGACTGAAGCCACATCCTGTACCATCAGCAACTGACAGGCCCCGACCTGTGGTTGGAAACTCACTGGAATGAGGCGAGACGGCAGACTCTGCGATGGGTTTGTCAGTGGCAAGTTCATGCCAGCACCAAATCTATAAGCTAATGTGTGCGGGTGGTGTGAACGGTTTAGAAGGCGGCAAAGCCTTTTTTTTTTGTTGTTTATGCAGAAACTTGAAATGATGATTTTTCTTTTTCACAGGTGAAAAATTGACAGATTATGATATAAACTTGAAATGAACGCGTTGTAAATTAAACCAGCGGTCTTCAACCTTTTTAGACTTGCTCTTTAAAACAAAAATGAGTGTCCGAGAGTTTAAAACTGTGCCACCAAGTTTGCTTTGGTTTAACAATTTTAGGAAAAAAGGTCAGCGACCAGTAAAAAAAACAAGAAAGAGAACTCATCTGCTAGTGGATTAAATTTCCCAAAGGTATATAAAGTGACGGTTCCACCATGCCCAGCTACAACAATAAACTACTGCTCATGCTTAAGTACATTGTTTTGTGCTCAATGTTCCAATGAGGGGAGACACAAAACGCTGATTTCTCTGATCTTCTCCTGATCTGCAGCCGACTACAAGGAGAGCTTCAACACTATCGGGAACGTGGAGGAAATTGCCTTCAATGCCGTCTCCTTCACATGGGACGTTGGCGAAGAAGCTCAGGTACAAAAGGGGGCGGGGCTTACGTCAGAGCAGGAAATTATTGAAACTGTTTGTCCTCCGGCCTTCACTTTCTCACTCAAGCAGTTCACAGTTCAGTTTTGTGCCCCTTTTTCTCTTCTTTTGTTAGTACGTAACTCATAACCACTTGTGGGGAAGAGAGGTCTAAATGCCCCCCCCCCCACCCCCCCTTGTTACTTTAAATCGTGGACATGGCTGCGTTAGATGCTGAAAGGAGCAACTCGGATTTCACCTTTTTGTTGAGGTGGCCTGTTGGATAAAGACAATCGGCAAACACTGTGTGTGTACACACACACACACACGGCTCTCATTGGTTGAGACGCATGATGACACCTCTCCCAAGACAATGCACACATGTCACTGCTTTCAGGGTATTTTAGTTGTTCATTTGAATGAATGAATGTGACCACGCTGATGTACAAAATTGGTGTTTTTGGTGAATCTTTTCATCATTTGTTTTTGCCTGTCTCTGTATTGCCAAGCAACAATCTCCATTGTAGTGGGAGCGTGAAATGCGTTTGCAGGGGAGATGAGCTGCTCCCTGCTGCATGACTGTGACTCCTGTTTGTTTGTTTGTTTGTTTGCGCCTGGCTGAGTGGATGGCATCAAACAGCCACTTACCAGAGACCTCGTGTACCTTTCTCTTTTTAGGAAGGCATTTGAAAGCTTAGAATGTGTGTGCACACACAACAAGCCTCCTACACACACATCGATGCTAGCAGCAACACGTCCAGTGCTTCTGGAGAAAATGCAATGGCTTGGGTCCGTGGAGGTGTGAGTTTGTGGGAGTGTGTAGGAGGCTCAAGTGTGCTTCAGGCCTTTCCAGCAATCAGCCCTCACCTCTACAGGTTCAGGCACGATGCAGTTGATGCCATGTAGTGGGAAAATGAGTGAGGAATCTCTACCGTTATCAGTCTGCCTACCTGCTGCTCAGGCCGTTGGACCTGTTTAACAGGAGTCTTATGTTGGTTCAGATGTTTTGGCATCATCATTAATCATGGCGGGAATCTGTTCTCTCTTGCAGCTGAATGTGTGCAGACAACTGCAAGTGACATTGAAGTGTGATGCAACTACATCACAACTTGGGAAAATTATTCTTTTTTTTTCTCTCACAAGCATTAAACAATTCATCAGCTCTGCTGCTCTATTTAGCTATTTGGCACATTTCTAGTTGTAAATAAATATTCTGTTCTGACAGATTGGAAGCCTTCTCTGTAGCGTATGAAGTGGTGAGGTGACGGGACAGAAGCTTGTTGCCTCTCTGAACTGTGGATGATTCAGGAGCAGAGATCCCCATGGTATCTGTCTGCCTATGAAACTATGTAGAAAGGTGTACGTTTTTCATGAAAGGCTGAAGGAAAACTCCTTATTCGCTATCACTGTTATTGCTGAGTAACTTTACTTTTTTTTTGGTTTAAAAAAACAACTATTTTTTCCTAAATGTCCCAAGCGTGTGGGATATTTTACATAATAATCTCTTTTCGACAAGAGACCCGAGAAGAACCTCAAAACCCACCAAATACTCACCCCTACATGACTTATCCCATGCAGTGTTCTCCAGTTCTATTTGTACTGATTTCATTGTACTGTTCATTTTTTTTATTTTTGTCTGGTTTTGTTTTTGGCGGTCATTGTAAAGCGTCTTTGGGTACCTAGAAAAGCGCTATAACTATAACAAATACTATTTATAAGAAGGAACTGTATAACCGACAGAAATTCGAAACAAGTTTGCAGTTGATTCCATTCATGGGGAGCACTTGAACCCGTTGAGTATCATCTCGCTCTACTTGTTTTAGGTCGCAATTTAACTTTGTCCTGTGACTTGTTTTTATTTGCCAGGTCTTCATCTCTGCAAACTGTCTGAGCACGGACTTCTCCTCGCAGAAGGGCGTGAAGGGGATGCCTCTCATAATCCAGATTGACACCTACAGTTACAACAGCTGCAGCAGCAGGCCCATCCACAGGGCCTTCGCTCAGATTAAGGTCTTCTGCGACAAGGTGAGGACGGGGAGGTTTTTTGTCTTCAAACCTACTCTTGTGTCTTCTTTCCCGTAAAACCCTTTTATATGTTTGCAGGGCGCTGAGAGGAAGCTTCGTGATGAGGAGAAGAAGCAGCTTAGGAAGAGGATGAAAGGTAAACAAATAATGAAATATGAATGAAATGTGATTTCACCTGCAGAAGTAACCATGGTGCGCTTGATTTAAGAATTGGCATTGGAATTGGCGAAAGACTCAAAAGCCAGGGCTATGTAATCAAAAATGTATCCAATGTGCACAAAGAGTGGTTGCCGGGCAACAGGTGCTGAGTTCACACTCCTCCTCTCTGGTTTAGGGAAACATGGCAACACAGTACAGACCTCTCCCTGTAAGAGGCCTGAAAACACGCTGTTCAAAACCATGATGGACCTGGATTCTCAGCCTGTGCTCTTCATTCCTGACGTCTACTTTGGAAACCTGCAGAGAGCCGGCCAGGTGAAGCAACCTTATGCCTCGTTGTGTAACACACACACACACACACGTTGCAAATGTTGAGTCCTGTAGTGAACCTAATGTGGCCTTTCTACTGCAGGTTTTTGCTTTCAACACGGAAGAGGACAACAGAGATGGGTGAGTGTCATTCTGTTCTTTTCACACCTCCGGTTTTGAAGATCTCCATGTGGAAGATCCCCTCGTCAGAGTTCTCGTAGTTTTCCCTTGTATATGTTGATGTTGATGATGATGATGATTGCTGTGTTTGTCAGAAGTGTTCTGGTGAAAAGGATATCCGCTGCCGCTGAGGAAGAGGTCTGTCCACCCCAGCCCAAGAAGTCCAAAGTGGAGGTGCAAAGGAAAGGTTGGTGAATGTGGTTTGGTCTCAGACTATATTATGTGTCTGAATGGATTATAATACCTTGCCTCTATCCGTCTCCCCATCAGTTCTGCTGTATGTGAGGAAGGAGTGTGATGAAGTGTTTGATGCACTGATGCTGCGCACCCCGACCCTAAAGTCCTTGATGGAGGCAGTGAGTGTTAACAAGCTGCTTTACACTGAAATACTATTACAAACATGAATCCATTGCTAGTCCCAGAACAGTAATACAATACGTTTCAAATAGTAATGATACATGTATTACCTGTGTTTCACAGATCTCTGAGAAATATGCAATACCTGTGGACAAGATGGTCAGAGTTTACCAAAAGAGCAAAAAAGGGTGAGTGGGTCCGACTATTGAGTCACTTGTGGCGTTGGTTCATGTAAAGAAGCTTTCCCTTTAAAGACTGTTCTCGTGTTCGGTCTCCCTCAGGGTTCTGGTGAACATGGATGACAACATAATCCAGCACTACTCCAACGAGGACACCTTCATCCTGGCTATCGAGGGCTCAGCAGAGTCTTTGCGCGTGACTTTGTCAGAAATCTGACTGATATTGGCCACGGGGCTGCAACGCCCCCCCTGGTCAGTTCAGGATGATCACGGGTGGCAGACGCTTTGGCCATTGCTTGCAGTGTGAGACGATGGGGCCCAATGTGCTCTTTGAGGAAGTGCACGTAGGAGTCTCTAATGTCCTACGTGGATCATTGGCTAAACTCTTTCATTGGGAACGCAGACATGTCTTTGAAACTTCAGCGCTTCTGTGATATTTCCTGGCTGACCGCTGGCGCAAGTCGTGATCAGTCGATTGAACTTGTACATACTTCAGAGGAGAGGCTTTTACTCAGGTCAGCACAAAGCATCCAGCCAGCCTGCTGGGGTTTCACAGGAAGAAGACGACACAATATCCAGGCGTCTAATTGAATTAACAGCAGGGGGCTGCTGCTTGCTTCCCCAGCCCTGTGGGCTCTTCATGTGATTTGAAATGTTTGGAAAGCTCTCGCTTCAAAGCAAGTCAATGCGATGTTTTTTGCTGGCACTCAACATATCAAGGTAAATGATGTGATGTTTTGTATGTAAATAATACTTTTTAGATGTGTCTCAAATAGCTGTCATGTGACGATTGTAAGTCAAATGTAATTGCCTTTTCTCTGTGGGTTGTGCATCTTTTTAATCCATTTGCTCCACTTGCTGCACTGTCAGATAGTGATGACAGGATGAGACGCTGTTATGGAGCAGACACTGAGTCTCCAGGATGCTGTTAAACAGTTTGCTTCCTCTGTGCATGTGGTTATTGCCTTTCCTTCCACAGAGGAGACTATCTGTATCTGTATATATTCCTTTACACATCCACTGCATACAATCTGTGTTCATCTCGCGGAAGGCGTCGGTATCTTTCATCTGCTCTGTTCACCATGATGTACAGTCTTTGAAATTGATAAGTTTTATAAGCAGTCACTTGTTTTCTTTTTACCACTTTCTAATAACCCTTTTAAAGGTTATATAGTTTGTAATGAATGGCTTTGTTATCAGTAAATATTTAGCTCCTAATATTTATAAATCATGTATACACAACAAGAGCATATTTTGGTTAACTGATGAAAATACATTTTTTTATTCATTCTGTTTGGTAATAAAGACAATTTATAAATTCGTAAGTGGTCTAGATCAGCTGAAGAGAGCAGTTGGCAGCGACCAGCGGGGGACACAACTTTGGACTTGTACAGTGAAGTGTTAAGAGTAGGTGATAAACATGATGGAACCAACCGTTTTACAATTATGTCGACGTGTCAGTGTGATAATGTTCACATTAAAAACGTTTGTATTGGGTGTAAAATGAATAATGTATCAAAATAGCATATGATAGTGTATTTTAGGAAAGTAATGGCGAGGTCTTTTCATAGCCGGGCACGAAATTAAAATTTTATCAAAAGTCATAATTGTACTGTGACGTTTTACTATAATTTTTAGTATAACAAGAAAATTGAGAGTTAGTCATCGTATAGTATCCCCAAAAAATCTATGGTATTGTCTTAAAAAATATATAATAATTGAAGTCATGACAAAGTCATAGTATGTCAAGAGTCAAGGAAAAGATAAATGTCCAAAAAAGGTTACGGCAAAATGTGATGAACCAAAAGTTAAAACGTCAGAATGAGATTTTCATGTCAATTTTTATACACTATGTGAAAAAAAGCCATACAATATCATTTTAAATGAGGTCATAGTATAGTGTTGAAAAGTGTCATCAAATAGTTAAAAGTATAGTATTTCAAAAAGTTTTGGTATAGTCTTTTTAAAAAGTCCTATTATAAAATTATGACTAAACTGCCATAAGCCCGTTATGTTGAAATCAAGACATCGTGGTATTGTATAAAAAAAAATATTATTCTATTCAGTCTATTAGTCTATTCAGTCAAAAAATGAAAATGTCCCATTTTAGCAAACCAAACTATATTATAGTATTATATATTAAAATGAACCAGACGTGCTTGCAGACAATACATTGTAAATTTAATTCTTGCTTTTAAAAGTTGACCAAAATACAGAATCTTGTGTTCCACAGTCACTAAATACAAGATACCATACAAAACCTACAAAATGCAACAATTACAAACATTTTGTTCAACAGATAATTGTACAGTATAAAGTTTTACAATACTGTTTTGTTTTTATTTGGCACTTGACCACAAGATGCTATTTTGTGTTTTACCGGAAATATTACACTTGACTTTGCTTTTTTTATCTTATTTTTTATCTTTAAAAAATAAAAAAAACATAAAAGTACAATAAAAGCAACACATGGTGACAGTATCATTGTAGTAGTTGTAATTATCTGTGTTGTTTCTTTGCATTTTTCCCTTTACAAAAAAACAGCAGCTTTTCTAATTGAAAACTGATGGATGACTGAGAGGACTGTCCGGAAGGGGCTTCGGTACATTTAGAGGGGGGGGGTCACACAAGTCAAAGTGGAACTTTCTTAAAAACAGGGAGAGCTTCTTTTTTTCCTGTGACAGATTAGTGTTGGGGAGAAGGAGGGAGGGAAAGGAAGACCAAAATATGAAGCCAATGGAATCCTTCCGTTGCGTTAATGGGCCTCCCTACACTGCTGCGTGCTTTACCTCACTTGGTACTGAAAACGGCATACTGTAGTTGATAGGAAGTGTGCTGCTAAATAATACACTCCTCAGTGTGCACAATTGGTGATTTAAACGTTGAGCTCAACTGAAAAAGGAAAAAAAAGAAGCTCCCGGTTCTGACTACTCAGCATCCCCACTAGGCCGCGTGTCTTCTAAACGTACAGGTCCTCTGTGCGTGGTGGCCCATTGGTAAAGTCTCCTTGTGTCCCCAGCATGACGCTTTCCACGTTCACCATCAGGGATGCCGCCTTTGGCTGTCACTCACTGACTACGACACCAACGTACAGGAAGTGGGCTCAGGGCCGGACCGGCGGTCCGCTCAGCCTCTCACACGCATTCGAAACACACATGCGCAGAAGTCACATGCATACGTGTTGCTTAGTCTTCCACCCCTACACCCGACTGTTTGACATGCTGTATTTAAAAACATTTGAAGGTGACCGTGAAGACGAGTGTCGCGGTTAATGTGTGGTTTGCATGCTTGACATCTTTTCACCACGTCTGTTATGAGCTGGGCAATCCAAAGCTTTACAAATTTAGGTGCTTTTAATATATCTACACTGTACTGAAATACTTTGAAGACTCCTCCTCTACTCTCCTGAAGCTAGAGCACAGTAACACACCGACACATTTCAAAAGCTCCCCGTCACATTCTTGCTGGTATGAAAAAAATCACTGGAACTGATGGTGGATAAAAGAACGCCTTTCATTCTTCATTAAATCGGTGACACTAAAACCTAAACTACTGTGAGGGCACTTATCCATGATAGCATACTATTACATATTACATGTCATTTTGTCCCAGCACAAAAAAAAAAAGTCTATTGAGTTTGTAACATAACACAAACACTTTCTCACAGTAGAAAAGAGGAAAGGAAAATAAAAAAAGCAGTAATTGCTCTACGTGAAGGACAAACTTCACCATCCTCTCTGCAGATTAATCTCACCTACAGTACGTCCTCTTACTCAACACCACTCTGTCCCTCTCATGGTGTCTCATGCACACACTCTGACTATGGTACACATTAAGGAGACAGAGGCTCTGTGTCGCCCCAACTGGAGAACCAATCAAAGACAGGGATACAGAGACTCCACTTTGAACTGTATATACACAACCTACTGCCCGCCCTTCTCTATACTCTGACATGCCGATAGGAGGACTGAGGGATCCTGGTCAACTACAATCAGTGAGGTTTGGAGGGTTTTGATGAACAGCGTAAAAGGGGAGGGGGGGAGGGGGGGATTTGGCTCCTGTGCCCATCCTTGATATCCTCAGTGCAAGTTGAAGGCATGTCGTCTTCATCTTCATACGCTGGTCATTCTTCATCGTCAGTCTGCTCCAGTCTGGGTGGAGAATTCGGGGCATGTGGAGTCCCTCAAAAGAAGCACCTAAGGGAGACGCAAAATGTTGTTTTGTCATGTATCACAAGGTAACGCTAAATTAGGCGCCGTGGGGGGAGATGGCGAGTGAGAAGCCTTACAGGTTGTGTTGATGCCCTCAGGTATTAGAACTGTCCGGCGCTGCTGGGGTCGCACTGCAACAGGCGGACGATGGAGGGGTCGCTCTTCGCCCCCTTGATGAACTCCTCCAGAGACAGCTTACCTGAAACACACAAAAGAGCCGGCCCCTAAGAGGTAAATGACTCTCCTCCTGTAGCCCATTTAAAGGCGTTGACAGAAACTTAAGTGAAACGATAACAGATGATTATTCTCTATTGGAGCCTCCTAACAATGTTCCACTTCTCGCCAAGAGGTGGCGGTGGCGGCTCCTCTCTCACCCTGACTCCTGATTCTCATAAGAAGGAGCAAAAGAAGGAAAACTCGCATCCCTTCCTCCTCCTTCCATGCACATGACTCACTAATCCTGCCCCCGCTGTGCATCTCCCACTCCTCCACCCCTGGAGTGTTGGTGCTGTGTGAGCGGCCCTCTGAGTACCTACAGTATACTGCACACGACTCAGACTGCTCGTGGTACATGAGCTCTGCTGTCGAGGGGGGCGGGGGGCACTCTGCCATGGAAAACAGTAACAATGACAACAGCTGCCGGCTAGCCAGGTGGCAGCGACAAGCTGCTCAATGCAAAGTTCAATTCCAAGGACGGCTGCGTTCCATTTAAATAAGACCAATAAATCACATGCAGCAACAGTTTTCTTGATGTCGTTTCTTTTTCATCGACACCCCCCCCTCCTACGAAAACCGCAGTGGACACGCTGAGCCTACCGTCTCTGTTTGTGTCCATCTGCCGGAAGATCTTCTCTGTCCTCTTCTCAGGCGTCGACTCGTCCTCGGGCATCTTCATCACGGAGGACACCATCTTATAGATGGCCTGGGAAGGGGACACAGGGCAGGACGGATGATCAGCGAGTGATCCGTGGGTTCTACTCAGAACAGAAGGCACCAACTATCAACTCCATACGACCGACTCCCACTCGACGTTCGGATGTTGCATCTGGTTGTGGCTTCAACGCATGTTGGCTGGATGAACGTGACTGAGGTGTGATGAGAGATTCACATGTAGCTTTACATCTGCACAGACGTTCTTTAGAAACTCTTTTTTATAGAGAGCGTTGTGACTTAACAGAACAAACAGCTTAGATGGATCAGTTTGAGTTTCTCAATCAGCAATCAGTCATATTTTATTTTGTTGCAGACGATCAATAGATTATAATGCTTTAGATAAGAAGAACCGTTTCTGACAGGCATGCCTCCAAGAACTCCGCTTAGTGTGCTGCTCAAGCTATTTTGCTTGCATGCCAATCCAGGAACACATCGGCTATCGGTCTGACTGCTATTTAGCCCTGAGGGGCAACAGCCTGTATTCACGGGAACATCCAGTTAACGGATATCTGGGCCAACACTTTGTCTTCCCTGTGCCAGTCGTTGTTTCTAGTCCGATTGACAAATTGAGACTGGAGTTGGAGAGACAACGTCTATGAACCGATGCTTCACCAGGAGCCGGTTTATTATGAAAAAGCGACATCATTACCAGAGGACAGCCGGTGGGTTCCTCCTCTTTTGACTGATTACTTGTGATAAGCCAACGCCCGCTCAAAGGGGACTGGTGAATACCACTCCGACTATAGGCGGGAACTAGAACCCTCTCGGCGCCATACGTCTCATGGGGATCATTTACGAAGAGTAGGGATCACTCGGGCACTACCAACCGAGCTGGAGGACTTCCTGAATGTATCTGCTAAGTGAAGAGCCGGATTGTTTGCGCTTAAAGAAACTTTATTTAACGTGGATCGGTCGCAGCACCAATGGCGGCGCCTCGTGACTGATGACTGAACAAACGCGGTTCAGATGCGCGCATACACACTCCCTCACGCACTATTTACCAGTGTTGTGTCTCCCCTGCTCTCTGGCTGCTGGGCAGTAGAATCAGAAAGAACAGTGGACTCACAGCCCACTCCCTCCGTCTCTAATCAGAAGGCGGATTTGAGGGGAATGGGATGTGACATGTGTACAGAGGAGGGATGCTTGTGATTACAGCGCAGCGGGAGCTTTTAATAGGAGCCGGTTATGCCTCCTATTACAGAGAGCTCGGCTCCTGGGTCGACATGGAGCTGAGGAACGTTTAATATACGTCTTCATTTCAGCCAACGCCGTTATTAATCAGAACCCTTCAAACTGCTGGGAGCGTTTAGTACATTTAGCCAATGTTACATGATGGGGATTTAGCTGTTGGTCTAATCCCAAGCAACGCAGTGGAATGAGATTAAAACTCTAAATCCCCAAATTACAAGTAACCAATAAGAAGTGAAGCAATCTAGAGCTTAAGTCTGCCTGAATATTCCCGACAGCTCTATTATCCCGCTGTGCCGGAGAGCTCCATAGCCGTCCACACACCTTTAGATCCATGTCCTGTCATACTGGCTGCCATGACGGGTTATTAGTGAACTGTTTTACATATGGTTTAACTACATAACAGTAGACAGGAGGACTTGTTAGTGCATTTAAAACGCATAAAAACCAAGATGGCTGACGCACAGAACCTCTACTTTTACAAATAGCGCCGATGCTAAATTGGACAGAAGGTATTATACGTCAATAATAACTGAATATGTCACATTGTCCGCTTCCTCCTGTTACAGCGACGTTTAACTAAGTTGACGAGACTTTTTTATTGTCTCCAGTAGGGACCAATGGGTTCGACAGTATAATGAACTAATGAGAAATGGACTTACACACTTAAGCCCTCTCAGGGATTTGTTGACAGAGAATAAAAAAAGGACACCAGCCTTATCCTTCCACATAGCCAGTCTTTAGGTGGCACACCTGAGAGTATCTCTGCTGCGCTAAAGGAAAAGCCAGTGTTATAAAGTTGCAATCCTTCCTTCCCTTGTGTCCACAGACCATCACCGTTCTCTTCATTGGTTTGGTCCTCTTCACATCTGACACCCTGCCAGCTGCTGTGTCCTCCCTGGATGATTGTCTGTCTCCGTCTCCCCTCTTACCTCCTCTTCACTTCCCTCACAAATGCAACAAAGAAAAGGAACACAGCTACAAAACTGAGACTATTATGTGGCCACTTTTCAAATGAGAGTGAGAAGAAAAGTGTCATCATTCCATAAATGTTATTGCTTTCCTTCTTAACTGCATCAATTGACACCCGGAGGGACGTAGAGAGGCAGAGTCTAAAGGGACAGTGAGAAAGACTTGGCGGTGTGGGTGCAGACTGCTGTTAACTCGATACCCTTTCCAAGACTTGAGTCTTGATTCTCACTAAATACAAACCGTTTATTAAATGCCCCACCAGAGAGGAGAACACGCTGGATCACTGTTGCACCACAGTAAGCAGAGCTTATCACGCCGTCCCTCCTGTTGCGCTGGGACACATTGACCACGTCATGGTACATCTGATTCCTGCATACAGGCAGAAACTAAAGCTCTGCAAACCGGTGGTGAGGAAATTTAAGAAGTGGACCAGTGAGGCGCTTGAGGATCTTCGGGCGTGCTTTGACTGGACAGACTGGGACGTTTTCAGGAATGCTACCGACAGTCTGGATGAGTTCACAGAGGCTGTAACTTCTTACATCGGCTTCTGTGAGGACAGCTGTGTTCCATCATGCACCAGGCTGAGTTACGACAACGACAAATGCTGGTTTATAGCGACACTCAACATTCTCTGCAGAAGGATCAGGCATTTAGGAGTGGGGACAAAGTCTTGTACACAGTCAAAATACAGGTTTAGCAAGGCGGTGAGAGATGCTAAACATCTGTACTCTGAGAAACAGTTCTCAGCAAGTGACTCTGCTTCGGTTTTGGAGAGGCCTTAAACACCTCCCAAACTTTCCAAGCCCCCCCCCCACACTCCATGAATAGAGTAGAGTTCTACTGCAGATTTGATAGACAATGTCCTGACTCCTTCGCCCAGCCCGTCAGGGGCTCACGCCTCTGTATCACCGCCCCCGGGCTCATTAAAAGACAAAACCCTCACAAAGCAGCCTCCACCATCATCCCTGTTCCCAAGAAGCCCAGGATCACAGGATTCAATGACTACAGGCCCGTCGCCCTGACCTCTGTAGTCATGAAGTCTTTTGAGCGGCTAGTCCTGTCCCACCTAAAAACCCTCACCGATGTAGGACCCACTGCAGTTCGCCTACAGAGCCAACAGGTCTGTGGACGATGCTGTCAACATGGTCCTCCACTACATCCTCCAGCATCTGGACTCCCCAGGAACCTACGCCAGGATCCTGTTTGTGGACTTCAGCTCTGCCTTCAACACCATCATCCCGTCTCTGCTGCAGGACAAACTCTCCCAGCTGCACCTCCAGCCACCAGTCCGTCAAGCTCCTGAGGTTTGCGGATGACACCACCCTCATTGGACTGATCTCTGGTGGGGACGAGTCCGCCTACAGGTGGGAGTCCGACCATCTGGTGTCGTGGTGCAGCCAAAACAACTTGCAGCTCAACGCTCTAAAGACAGAGGAGATGGTTGTGGATCTCAGGAAGAACAGAGCCCCACCTTCCCCAATCACCCTGTGTGACTCCCCCGTCACCACTGTGGACTCCTTCCGTTTTCTGGGCTCCATCATCACCCAGAACCTCAAGTGGGAGCTGAACATCAGCTCCATCACCAAGAAGGCTCAGCAGAGGATGTTCTTCCTTAGGCAGCTGAAGATATTCAACCTGCCAAAGACAAGAATGGTGCACTTCTACACGGCCATCATCGTCCTCTGCTCCTCCACCAAACAAGGTAGATGGAGGTTAGATGTCGGCCAGGATTAGACACCTCCATCTTTCTCCGGGGGTTTTGCTTGACGATCAATCACAATGAATGTCTCTCCAACAGGCTAATTATGATAATCACCAGTATTTACATACTCCCTGCAAGGGAGAGCATTAGCTAGCTGGAGCGAGCCACAGCTCTCAGTCACTGTGGCAAATGGTTTCTGAGAAGAAAATGACTGTGTGTCAAAATTGATAAATTAATAATTTCCACAATGTTTCTTATAGAGGAACATACAGTAAAGGGTTACTGTAATGGGAAAAAGTATATGTAACCCATCAAATGTGTTATTGTACCAACAGTACAACAGCACAACGGTACAATATAAACAACAGTTTATAGATTGCGAGTGCTGGGTGTGTGTGGCTATGGGAAAGTATTGAGCTGTGTCTCACACTGATAAGATGTCTCCAGTATCCTGGCTGTAGTGTAACAATAAGTGTCTGTTGATGCCACCTGTAACTGGACCGAGGTATAAGAACTGCCCTACAATAAAAAAAGGTATTCTTGGCAGTCTACTGAGCACGTGCCTTTTTTCCCTTGAAAGGAAATAAACGGAGAAATACATATTTGACATTCTTATTTTCCGATTGTTTGTGTAAATCTTCCACCACACTACGAGCTACGATATTTCTAAAGTTTTGTCAATTCCTTACAGATGAGGCTCGGGATGCAGACTTGCACCTACAGATGGAGCGCCTTGCATAAGAATTCACTCCCCTTGGACTTTTCTACTTTTTGTCAAGGTATAACTACAGATTCATTTTATTTTATTTAATCAGCCTTAGGCCTTTGAGTTTATTAGACAGCTTTACTGAACAAAGAGCATCATGAAAACCCAGGAGCTCACCAAACAGCTCAGGGATAAAGTTGTAGCCACGTATGAAGCAAGGTTAGGTTATAAAAAGTATCCCTAGCTTTGAACATTTCAAGCAGCACCATAAAAAAGAATACAATATGGCATAACCGCAAACCTACAAAGAAAAGGTCCCTTTGCCTGTGCTTACTCCCTTCACACTCACTCACATTCACACACTTGATTTCACATACACTCACAACGTGATTGTCTATGGTTATGTATGGTTATCTGCCTGCCAGTGCACTTTAATTTTAACTTTTTAATTAAATTATTTTCTAAATTTGTATTCTATAACCTCCTACCCCACAGCCTTCTATTTTATACTGTAGTTAAATTGTACATTTGTAAATTGAACATGTCACTTTGTTATTTGTCTTGTTGTCCATTGTCTTAGTGTCCAATGTTATGCAACAACTGTCATGTCAAATTCCTTGTATGTCTAATATATTTTGGCAATAAATGTTCCTGAGTCAAATACAGAACAATTCTTAAAGAAAATCTGATGCAGTCTGCAAAAGACTTGAGACTCGCAGGTTCATCTTCCAGCAGGACAATGAGCCTAAACATAAAGCCAGAGCTACGATGGAATGGGTTAGATCAAAGCATGCTAATGGTTTAAAATCGCCCAGTCAAAGTCCAATATGAGCTTTAGCTTTTTCAATGGACAAACATTTCCTTCTCTAGATGAAGCTAGTGGAGACATATCCCAAAGGAGATGCAGCTGTAGTTGCAGAGAAAGGGGATTCTACCAAGTATTGACTTGACTCTGGGGGGGTGGAAGGCAATGTGTGTTCCAAATGTGTGACCTCACAAAAGCACCAGGAGGAGCTCTTTTATTAGTTTCATTCTGCAACAAAATAAGTACAGATACGCACCAGGATATCCAAGATATTCAAGATATCCACTGGCTATCTGCCCTCTGATATCGCTGAAACATTCACTGTGATCACATTAAGCTGCAGACTTTATTCAAAGACCCTGAGCTCAGGCTTAATTTCAACTCCGGCAGTCACTCTACAAAAGTCAGCGCTGCCTGAAACTTTCCTCTTAAGCCTGCACTCTCTCTGTGGGGGTGCGTGGCTCTGAGGGGGGAGAGTGAGCTAGCCAAATGTAGAGGGGGAGTAGATGTGCTTCTGTGTGTCTGTCTGAAAATGCACTTGAGCAGTGAGGAATGGGGAGTGAGTCTAATCGAATGAATAGCAACACAGCTCCTGCTGCTGCTGCATTTTAAAAGCCTCCATCGCATCTACACAACATCTCTGAGCCCTTACCAACCCGCACTAATTATGGCCTTCAAAGCAATAACAAACGCACTTGTTCGCTCATTAAAGACCGAAATACCAACGGATGAGCCCTGCGCACAGCCAGAGAGCGGCATTTTTTACGTAGGCGGCCGTCCTTGGGAACAGCAGCACCTTCGAGGCGAAAGTGGGCAGAGGTTTATGTCATGTAGTGACTGAAGGTGGGGGTGGGAGAGTGGGGGGGGTAATTTAACCATGGTGCTACGCCAAGTGGGCAAATGTGATGCAGCGTACTTTCATATTGTAATGTATCATAAAAGTGTGCTTGTGTAACAATGATATACCGACCAAGTCAATGGAAGAGCAAAGTATATATAACTACATATATACTAATCAGACAAATGATGAATCCTTATGCTTTCAAATGAATTCAGCATTAAGCACGCTGCACTGTGAATCTGCGGTTTTAAAGCAGTGCAGTCTTACATTCCGACAGCTTGTGTTGCTGCACGTTTGTGGGCGTTCGTCAGCAGTTGGTTGTTCAGGTGACGTACCTCCTCATTTCTGTCCAAAACGATGCAGCGTTATAATACATCTACAGCCGGTAGGGGTTCAAGAGGGAGATCACAGCCCACAACAATTGGTTGGTGAGCTTAAGTGCTGAAGTAATCTGCACATTAGGAAGGGAAACTAGGTGACACATACGTTATCAACTAGCTGCTCCACAAATGTGGAGCGTACATCTTCATAGCCTGTCTGCATGAGAAGCTCCCCCTCTCCCCTTTTAATAAAGTCCAATGAGCCCTGCTGCACCGCACAGCATTTTTCAAGTCTTAGAGCGTAAACGTTTAGTGTAGCTGCTAAACATTCCATGGACAAAGACATGGGATTCAATCCTGTTAGAAACAGAAAATGAACTAACTTCAAAATGAGCAGGTTTTTATCAAATTGCTTGTGTCAGTTTAATCTTTTTTTCTTCTGGGAATCCGATGTTGGTTAGAATGTTTAAAAGCGCACAGAGGCCGTTGGGCATTTCAGTTGACATTCACCTTTATTAGGTTAATAAATAACAGCAGTTTAGCATGCCGGGCTTTTAACACTGACAGGGATTTAATGCAAAACCTCCTTCCTGATATTTTGAGAATTAGGTTGCATTAGGCCACGACGAAGGAAACCAAGTACCTCACAAAACAGCAGGTTAATGCAGGCTACAAGCTGACCTTTGAAAAGACCCACAACTGAGCAACATATACAAACAGAGATTGAAGTGAAGCTGTAGTTCCATATGGGGAAGTGAAATGGTGGAGAGCAGCATTTTTATTTCCAGTTAAAAGTCACATTTAAGAGGTTATGGAAATGACAGGTTCCAAAACACCTTTTATTCCATTAATCTTAACACCTAAGTGTCTGTGTCTGAGATGCCTCCTGTCCTTAAAGTGCCGGTACTGCTTTTCCTATTCTATAAAGAGTGTGTCATGGATACAATTGCAGCACCGCATATACAGATGTTTAACAATCAGTGTGTTTGTGTATGTGTCCTACTGCCTCCATTCACACTCACCTGCACAATCTCCAGCATCTCGGCTTTGCTGATGTACCCGTTTCCGTCCAGATCGTACATGCTGAATGCCCATTTCAGCTTCTGCTCCAGCTTGCCGCGCGAAGTCACGCTCAGTGCGATGATGAACTCCCGAAAGTCTATCGTCCCGTCGCCATTGGCATCGAACGTGCGGAAGACGTGCTCGGCGAACTTGGAGGCGTCTCCGTAGGGGAAGAAGTTGCCGTAGATCTTCTTGAACTCCTCCATGGAGAGGTTCCCGCTGGGGCAGTCCCTCAGGAAGCCCTTGTACCACTCCTGGATCTCGTGCTCGGTGAAGTCGGTGCTTTCCAGGAGGTCCTGCATCACCTCGGGGCGGAGCTTGCTGTTTTGCTTCCCCATGTCTGTCCGTCCTGTCGGTCACTCGGCTCTCAGCTGGGAGACAGAGGGAGGTGAAGTTGTTAGGATGAAGTAAACACAGTTTACAGAGCAATATAGTACTCGGAGGAATTTCTTGGGTCACACAGCTGACAGAGATGAGAAGAAGATAATCTGCTCATGACCCAAGATTTTAATGTATGGACCTTCGAAATAATAATTACTTGCTTAATTCTATAAAGATGTTTCAGAGGGGTTTCCTCCAAACATGCCAAATGAGGAATAAAAATAAACTTCCTTTTGAACTTAGATTAAAACGAGGACAAATGGATCCGTTTTGAAGCCATTGAGAGTTCCTGTGCATGGATGGAATGCATGGAAAGGGCATTATTTTGTTTTGTTGTAATACAGTATTTCTGAATATATGCCGGACCCACGAATATATCATTTCACTGTTTTGCATTAGAGTGTGCTGATTAAATCCTACTTTACTGTGAACCTTCAGTGACTGCTGCTGTTTCCTATAGTGGCTTCAACAATTTATTTTCCAAACGTTATGCTTATCAGGACTAAAATCCGTCCCAATTTACACACTATTTGAACTGTCCAGTGAAAACAGTATTGTGTACTCCAAGTACACACAACAGCATATGCCCAGCAAGGATTTGATTGGTCTATAAAATATCTGCTCCGCTTTCACTGGAAGGAAAAGGTGGTGCAGACGAATTATATTGAAGCCAAGCCTCTCAAGAATCAACATTTGGAATCATCACCACACACGGTTTCTCAATCCTCTTCCTGGAACTAGCGTATCCGTGTTTGTCACATAGATCTTTATGAACAGGATAAAGCTCTATAATCCATGTTTGAATTTTAATGTGATAAAATATGTAATAAAAACCCCTCAGGGAAAATACATTTGTTGCATTAGATAGATAGATAGATATACACTGTATTAATCCACAAGGGGAAATTTGTGTGCAATAGCAGCAATACAGTAAATAAAATGAGAAATGAAAAATGCACAATATATACACGGCACAGTAAAATAAAATAAAATGGCAGAGCAGAACATATTAAATTAAATAAGTGAAAGGAGTATGTACAGTGTGGTGGAATATGTACAAAATACAGGCCAGAGCCCAGTCTGTGATTGTCTGCTGCTTGAAATGGCAGCGTGAAGTTTGAAGTACTACATTTTGAAATGAAATTCAAATAAAAAACATATGGTTTATTGTAGATTAAAAAAAAAAAGATGAAGAAAATATCTTATATATATATATATATATATATAATTATAACGAGTGTCAAAGTTAAATAAGACAGAGGTGGGCGGACAAAAGGGACAAGGGCCACAGTAAGAAAAGTGTCTGCTTGGTATCTGCCGATGACACAAACAGGAAGCGAAACATGTCGCTACGGTGTCGAAGTCGCCGACTACGATCTCGTATAGAGGAATGACAAAACAAGTTACTACACAGGTATTCAATTTACCAACGCCAAGGTTCAACCGCGGCTTCGCCTGTGTAGAAATTCCAGCATGTGAGCAGTGATATTTGAGAAGTGATGACTTATCAGTGTTGAATTATCCACTCAGAGTCAGATGGAAAAGCTTGAGTGCCCTCAGATTGTAGAATAAGCCGGCAATCAGCAACGCTCGAGTGGAACACAAATAAATGGAATGTACGGAATTATGTTTAATTATTTAAACTACCACAGACTTCAGCATTTGAACAACAACATAGGGCTGGGCGGTATAGCCAAAAAATAGTTAGCACTGTATTTTGTAAGATTCTGACGGATTTACTGTAAAAAAAAAACAAAGCAGGTAAAAGCAGAGGGGTGAGTCAGAAAAGTGAAAAACGGCCCTCCGAGGTTCTCAAGTCTAAGATGAGTTCTTTAAATAACTTGTCACTGTCAGTCCGGGTTGTGATATTGATATTGCAATAGCACAGTTTTGAGAACAACTAGTCCTCTCGTGCAAGATGATGAAATGGCATAACTGCAGGGTTGATTGAGTTAGTAAAAGCAACTCTTGACTTTAGAGCGACGACACCTGACTCTTAACTAACGGGATCCAGGACCATGATTCGGTCCAGCGCCACAACAGAAGATCACTCGCTCACAAAGCTGTGATTCCTGACCCACAATGACCATGTTACGATGTCACAATGGCCTGTTATGTTACACTCCATTTCCGGTCCCCACGCACGCACGCACACACGCACGCACGCACGCACGCACGCACACACAGTGATGCTCCTGATGACATGTTCAGCCAACTGCAAACCTACTGAAGTGGTGACATAGATGTATTTTTTTCATCAGATGGTAAGGGGATAAATTAGCTACAAGGAAGGCATGAAATGACAAAGAGCTCAGATGGGAAAATAGGAATTTCAATGGGTTTGTAATTGAGCCCTTCATACTGCTACTTCTAGCACAATATCAATCATTTTTAGCCACATTACTTAGCTCTTGTGCTGGAGGTACAACCTGATGTCTTTCCTGTGCAGCTTCTGCTTTAAAGTAAAAACCTCCAGCTGCTTCAGCTTTACGACACACACACACACACACACACACACACACACACACACACACACACACACACACACACACACACACACACACACACACTACCCCCCTCCCCCGCCATCAAGGCGGGGGAGGGGGGTAGGCTGAGACTGGCTGAGACTGGGACAAAGTTAATGGTGTGTGTGAATCATCTCACTCATAGGAGAGAGGTGAGGAGACTGAAGCAGTCAGAAAGACATATAGCAGAATGAAGAACAAGACGTTTCATCTCTTCCCGTATTCAGCTGTCATTAATCCCTCCATCCCACTCACATTATCCCATTCATAAACTCTTCCTCCATGCCTGGCCTCATTTCCATCCTCTTCATATTTCATCCTACACATGGACAATTTGCTCTCTTATGAAGCGATTTGCTGCAGTTACCATAGTAACATTCGGCAAAATCTCGCAGCCATTGATACGCTTCCTGGCGGAGATTGCTACTCATACGCATGACTACACAGACCACTTAAATCCACAGAGTCAGAGGCTGTGATGTATGTGTGTGTGTGTGCGTGTGTGTGTGTGGGGGGGGGGGTTGTGTGGCGGCATGTATGTAACAGTGACAACAGTAGACTGTATACAAAGGGAGAAACAAGTAACCAGGTATGATCCCCATTAAGTCTTCACAAACCCTTTACTCGAGCCCGTGTGAAACAACGACAATAATTCAGTTGTATTATGGTCTAATCTGCATGCGTCCTTCATTTGAAGCAAAATAAAAGTATGCACACAACCATGAACACAACAAATAAGTCAAACTTCTCTGATAATGCCCATTTTCAGCCCCGGCTGTCCCACTTTCGTAAACCAATAACACCAGCTGTTGCAGAGGGGGGAATGGGCTTATGGTCAAGCTGCAGTACATCCCTGCTCAGAAGGAATTTCAGATGCAGAAGAGCAGCAATAAGACTGAATGTCTGAATAGTTGGGGTGAAAGTGTTAAAAATATTTGAATAGGAAAAGTAACAATAAAAACTAGAACAACCAATAGCCGTCTCCCAATTGAGGGGCGGAGTTCATTGAGCTCTGTATTTTAGACTCAGGTCTGTTCAAAGGTCCCTTTGTAATGTCTCTAACAAGTTAGACTCAATTTTAAATGAGCATTATATGAGCACAAGCAGTTTCCCTTGAAAATTCATACTTTATGAGTTGACCAAGGATATCCTCTGAAGAATCTACAATTTTGTGGAGTCTTCCCACGTCACCATTTTGTTAAAATAGCTGTTACATTACATTACAGGTCATTTAGCAGACCCTTTTATCCAAAGAGACTTACATTACACTTTAAACCCATGGCTTTTTCACATTTTGCCCAGGGAGCAATTAGGGGTTAGGTGTCTTGCTCAGGGACACTTTGACATGGAACATGGGGCAGCCTGGACTCGAACCACCAACCTTGTGCTTCACAGCACACCTTCTCTAACCCCTGCGCCACGACGACCCGTCGATGTTGACATTTTATGCTGGTAAAATAAATATCTACCCCGTCACCATTTTCTCACTAAGTAGGAACCCAACTAATTCATACAAACAAAGAAATCCAAACAAATAAGTCCAGAAAATAAGTTAGGTGTAATAAAATGTAACAGGGGAAAAGTATGGAACACATGTAAAAAGGCATGGAATGCCAAGACACAAGCTGAAATCAGTAATAAGAAATCACTTCTGCCCTTTGTCATGCAAATGAATATCAGCTCGGTGTCTCATTACCAAGGTGTCCCACAAGAAACATCTCATGACGGGTAAAAGCAAGACGTTGCAACCTGATTGCTGGCATCGGTTACTGTCGTGGACCAAGTTGTCAAGGCACGAGGAAACAGTTTTTTCTGCAGAAGGGTTGTTTTATTCTGGGGCCCCAATTAAAAGACGTAGGCCAAACATAACTGTTGCAGCATGAAGTCTAGCAATGCACAGTATCCCCTTCAACTTCCCCACCTAACATTTGAGTGAAACATATATAGTGGCTGACTAAACCAACAAAAACATACAGGGGAGGGCAACCAAAGATATGACCTACAACACAAACCCGCCCTAATTCCCCCATGCTGTCAAAGCGTTTGGTATGGTCTGTGGCCCAGGCCTCTTGCATAAAAGCCAACTCCACAGCCAGCCTCATCTTTTGTCCAACCAGGAAGGGAACTCAACCAGGTAATGTCATTGTGGGGCTTTGGCCGTCACAGTTACATTATATTACAGGTCATTTAGCTGATGCTTTTATCCAAAGACTTACATTACATTTTTAACCCATGGCTTTTTTACCATTTTTGCCCAGGGAGCAATTAGGGGTTGGGTGTCTTGCTCAGGGACACTTCGACACGAGACATGGTGCAGCCAGGGCTTGAGCACCCTCTCTTCTCCATGAGCCACTGTCGACCGGTTACAAAAATATTTCTGCATGTTCCAGTGAGCATTGTCATAATCCGGAAGTGGAATGAACATTATGTCATCATAAACTGGCCGCGACCAGATGCTCCGTGCA